ACATATTTTACATATATATTTTAATTATAATTATTTATTTAATTTAATTACATTTATTTAATTTAAATATATTTACATGCCATTTTACAAAATTTAATTCAAAAATCGATATTATATTTGGAACATGATTTTTTAGACTTATTTTAATAATAATAATAATTTTAATAATAAATTTTAATATATTTATATATATTTTAAATTTTAATGTGTTTTATACATATATAATTACTTATATTATTATACAATTACGTGTTTTATTTGTAGTGTGTGTTTACTATGCAAACAAATATTTTAATATGTTGTGAATATTAGTCCAATGTATTAGAATTGCAATGATTGTAACTTAATGATATGAAAATTTATATCAAATTTATATCAAGTTACATTATAATCATATAACAAAAAATTTCGAACTATTCATGCATGCAACACGAATAAAAATTAGTTATCCGTGTGATGTGCGATCATTGCGGTTAATAAGTCGAAGAAAATACAATATCATTAGCGCAATATTTATCATATTTGATTTTCATTACAAATGATTAATTATTAAATTATTAAAAAATTAATCAATTGATTTAAAAAATATTTGTTTAATAATAATATAATAATAATATCATTTTGTTCTAATGAAATATAATAGCATATTATATTCTCAAAGAGAATACAGCATTATTAGAAGTTATAGCAAAAAATGAATATATAAAATTTTATTTATCATAAAAAAAATCTAAAAAATAAAATTTTTTTTTAGATATCAATATTTTTTTAGCAATAATTCAAAATTCTCTTCTGGAATTACTGAATTACAAGTGATTATCTAATCAGTGCAATGAAATGAAGAATGTGTTGATCCGATATAATGTATATTTATTTTATAATTATATATTATTTTTCAATGATTTAGTGTTAACATTTAATTAATGTATAAATTTATCAAAAGTTTGTTTATCAATGTTAAAAAAAAATATTTAGAGTATGCTAGTATTTCAAAGTTTCAAATTGGGTTTTCAATGAGTAATTGATTTTATTTATTGATGAATTATTTTTTAATTTAATATAAATTATAATTTATGATTCATTTTTTTATTTCAAATATGTAGTATTAATTGTTCATTTTAAAAAAATTTTTATATAAAAAAATATTGATTTTTTTATATTATAATTTTATCAATAACACAATAACAATTAATTAATTAGTTTATTAATTCGATTTTTTATTGATGAAAAAATATTTGTTATATTTAATATATTTTTTTTAGATATATTATTTGGAATTGTTCGTGCTTAATCAGCGATACGTAATGAACACTATTCGACTAGACAAATTTTTTGCATATTATACAAAAAAAAATAAATAAATATTGCAAATACAATTTCCAAATCAATTTCACTCACCGTGAAGAATTTCCATGATCAAAATGTTTATCAAATCTTATTCTATTAAATTTTTTTTTGTAAGGAATTTTGAAAAAAAAATAAAATATAATTTAATCAATGATAAAAAATATCAAATAAAAACTTCAAAAAGTATGTAAATACTTAATTCACAATACTATTTCTTCAGAAATAAATTACATTATTGTATTAAAGTTAAGAAACATTTCAAATAATTCAAATATTTATTTTAATTTCTAGATAGTAAATAAATAATTTCATTAATTATTACATTTAGAATATATTATATTTAGGAAGATCAATATATTTTTATTCAGAATTTATTTATCAATCAGAATATCAATTAATATAAAAAGCAGATATTTAAAAAATCAAGATGATTTTAAAATTTCTAAAATAACTCCTCATAAAAAACACATATGTGATGAGATATATTCCTCGAAACTATTTAAATCCCGTATCTTATAATTTTTATAAAATCTTCTATTTAATAATTATTTGAAATGAATAAATTAGTTAAGACTTGTATATAAAAATATAACAAAAATATCAAATATATAATTCTATTTCTATCTTTATTTATTTATTTATTTATTCTTATTAATTATTTATCAAATTTTATCAAATTCAAGTTACTTTTCAAAATTTAATTTTGATTTTTTATTAATATCAATTTTGAATAAAAAAGAATTGAAAATTATTTTCTTTTATTACAAATACTTTAATAATATATTTAATAATATCGAATTATCGATATGTTAATATTTTTAATTTATATTTTTATATTATCGTGTGAAATTAACTTTAATAATTTATAAATCAATTCCTTAAATATCATCGATAAAGCGAAAATAGATTTTTCAAAATTTGTTAAATAAATGTGAATATTATTTAAGAATTCACTGAACTTTTATTAATCATAAAAAAAGTTAAAAGCCGATAAACAAGAGCAATCCACTCAAAGAATTTATAAAATTAATTTAGTACGAAATCAAATTAATTGTTTTTGATTAAGATATATACAAAATACTTATTATATACTTCAAAATACCCAAATCTTTCACAATATATTTTGTTTTGTGTTTTTATTTATGTATTCCAAAAAAGTTATAAATTTTTAATAAAGTTGTTTTATTTTAAAGAATATATATATTCTCTAAAGAAACATTGAAATACGGAACGAAAACACTTATTAGGCTAACACGATCTTGAAGAAATTTTGGGAGAAAAAATATTATCAGTTAATATAGAAATCGAATCAAATATAAGATCTTCTATAAATTTCAAAGCAGTTTTATAAAAAAAAAATATTAATGAAAATTCAAAGTTTTATTTTAAAATTTTCTCCACAGATATCAATCTACATTCTCAATTTCATGAATTTTTATAAATAGGTAATAATATCATCAATATTTATCGATAATTATATCGATAGTCATAGTTCTTTAGATTAAATATATATATATATATTATGATATAATACATAATTTTTAATTTCTATCTATTATAATGTTTTCCATGTAAAAAAGAATAAAAACAGAAAAAATATTTTAATTTAACTGTATAATTCACAAATTTTATTCGTGATGAATTTTAGATTTAAACTCAAATTTGATATTTAGATATATTCACTTTTACTATTATATAACTATATTACTTTTACTATTATATAACTATATTACTACTATATAACTTTTGTGAATGTACATTCCAATCCAATTTTTAATTTAATAATTAAATTTTCTTTCAGCACATATATACATATAATTCTGATACGGTTACAAAAATGGTAGTTTCGGCGTAGTATAATAAAATATTAAAATTTCGTTAATTTTAAGTTTATTATTAAATGTATTTCAAAATTTCAAATTATTATAGCATAGTTTCTATAGTAAGAGTTTTCATTTTTTCGAAGATAAATTTTTATGATATTATTTCAGCTTTCAATAAATTTTAAAATTTAAATTTGTTAGATTTATTGCATGAATTAAAATTCCAGAAAATGGTCATTAAAATGATAAAATGATGATAAAAAATTAGTTTATTATCAAAAATCATTAAAAAATTTTGAGTTAATTTGGTTTATTATATCATAAATTTTAATCCACTGAGATTTATAAAAATATAAAAAATATAAAAAAAATATAAATATAAAAAGTAACAGCTATAATTTAATATATTATTATAAAATAATAAAATTTATCAAAATCAAATAACATTTGTCTAATAACATAATCTAATTTTAATTAATAACTATACAATATAAACTTAATTAACAATAAGCATAAAATAAAAAAAATAATAAGAATTTGCTAAAATTTAATGATACTTAACCATTGATTAATTATTGAAAAATAGTATAATAATTGTAGTTAATAATAGTTAATTGTATGAGTGTAAAACAAAAATACATTTAAAGTATGTTTTATGTGATCGAATTTTGACTTTATGTATTCTGTAGATTAAAATTTTATGTAAACATATAATATTGAAAGTATTGTTAAAGAATCATAATAATAAGTTAAAATATAAAATTAATGATAAATAATGTATTAATTTAAAAAAATTAAATTAACAATATAAATATAATAGTTATTACAAGATGTCATAATAGTTGCAATTACAATTTCTGTAATTTCAAAATGTTCATTATTCTTGTCAATATAAAATTGATAGCAATAAAAAATTGAATTCAAAACTCTTTAAAAATCTTTTGATTTTGTTTATTTTAGCAATTGTTGTTGATTTTAATTTATAGAATATATAAAGTTTGTTAGAAAAAACTAGGGTATAATGAAAATCTCAAATAAAATTTATAATTTTAAAATATTTAATGCTATTATTTACATATTTATTTTAAATAAAATGAAATAAAAATCTAATATATATTTTTAAATAAAAAAAAAGCTATTATAAAAAATTCAAAAATATATTTTTACAAAAACTTATATATAATATTATAATAATATTTTATAGATAATATATATATAAATATAGATCATAAAATTATAGTTTATTTCATGCAAAGTCTATTATAATAAATAATTTAAGAATAAATTTAATATAATAAAATTTATATGTATATATATAAGTATTCATTTTTATCTTATATTTAAATTGTATTATTTATTTTATATTTAAAAATTTTAATAATTTATATTTTTTCAAAATGAATATATAATTAAAATATTGAAATATTGAATTTTTACTATTATTAAATAATACTTTCTAAATGATAATTAAGATTATTAATATTTTATAATAATATATTAATATATTACATTATCTACTTAAATAATGCATTTTAATCAGTCAGATATTTTTTTTCTTAGAGCATTTTTTATTTTATTAAATACAATATAAGTTTTCTTAGATTATATTTAAAAAATAAAATTCAATTGATTTTTTTATATAATTTATCAACTTTTATTTTTAAATATTAAATTATTTCATAAAAAGTTTTTCAAATATAAAGTTAAACTCTAAATAATAAATTTAGTTTTTCTTTTACAAAAAAATATTCTTTTCTTTTACAAAAAAAAATAGTATTTATTCATCATATTTTATGAAAATCACAAAAATATACTTAGTTATTATTATTTAGTATTTAATATTATTGAATTAGTAAAATATTTGTTTAAATAAAATTAATTCTTTTAAATTAAATTAATTCTATAATTGACATGACATAATAACAAATGAATTTCTATGTAGCAGATTGTTTATAATTTTTTGTACTCATTAATTTTTTACCACACATTGCACATATAGCTTTCTTATATGCACATGATTGACAATAATGAGATCCAACTTGATGTACTTTTTGTCTACATATTCTGCAAGTCTCAAAAGTAGTAGTATAAGGATTAAATCTTGCCTTTCCTGTAGAAAGTGCTTTATTTTCTCCGACTTTACGTCCTCCACTTTCTACTGTATTTCTTGCACCATTTTTCCAAGGATCTGGAGTTATGACTTTTCCTAATTTCTTTTCACACTTTTCACAAACCATTTTGAGTTGGATATTAAATTTTTATTCTAGAATAAAATACAATAAAATATTTTTATGTGACTTTTATATTATAGATATAATATATGTTAATACTTTGTATCTTAACTGTAAGATTAAATTTATATCAATGATTATTTTACAAGTAATTTTATTTTATGTAAAATGAATAAAAAAAATGATAACTTGTATCTGTTTATATTATATTATGATAGTATATTATTTTAGAAATTAAATAAAAATTAGAAATATTGACTTATAATATATATAATATAAAATATTTTTAAAAACTTATTGGAATAGTAATGAATAGATAGATAGAATTTTAAGTTAAAATACAAAACATTATAAAACTATATGATAAAATTTGCATTTGTAATAATTATAAACAAAATATATTGAAATAAACTATTAAATAGTATATTAAAATATTATAAATTAATTAATTTTTAATATCTTAAGAGAATTATAAAGAAATATTTATAAATTTTACTTATTTCATATTTTTAAAATATCAATTTTAAAAATATCAATTAATCAAATCAAAACATTTTTTATTTACTTTTAAAATTTTGTTTACTTCATTTTTAAAGTAATAATTAAGTATTATACACATGATTACTTTTTCATTTAAACAATAATTAATAAAATATTAAAATAATTAATAAAAAAAATACTTAACCTATTAAATATTATAGTTTCGTAACATTCACAATTAATAGATATTTAAAAACTTAATGATATATCATTAATATTTATGTAGACAATGTTTCAATTTCTGATTTATTTAATATTATATTTAATATTAGTAAAAATTACATACCAAGAAATATATATTATGCATATATATATATATGTACATATAAAAGTACTTCTTTTAACAGCTATTTTATATTTCTTAATGTAAGAGAATTCAAATTACATTTTGTAGTAGAAATTTTATATTTACAGAAATATTTTTATATGTGGTACAATTAATTTATTATTACATTTATAGTATTATTATATTTATATATAAAAAAATATCCAAAAAAACAAAGACTAAAAAAATTATAATATTTTGATTTTAAATATATATATATATATAAGTATTTATGCTTTATATGTTCATTAATTCAAATCACTAAAAATAAATCACACAATTGTTGTTTATTTATTACTAATTATTAACAAAATATTAATATCAATATCAATATCTTTATTTAAAATCACAGTATATTTTAAATACAAACACAATAAAATAGAAAATAAATAAACATCTCATGGAACTTCACGTTATATGTTTTAAAAATACCAACTTAGAAAAAATAAAGTGGCTCTTATATCTTATATCTATCCTATGATTTATTACAATCAATGAAGGAATTATGTTTATTTTTAAAACAGATATGTAATTTCGAACGCTTTTATAATGAATGAAATATGTGTATTAAATTTGTTTAAAATAATTTAGTATTTATGATAAGAAGGAAATCTCAAGATTATATCAATAAAATCTGAAGATAATTCAATAATATAAAAGTAAAAGTTTTTAATGACTCAAAAATAATAAATGCTTCATACTTTTTATATATTTAGTAAAAAATAATATAAACATTGACACTAAATGAAAGTATCAGCATTTATTTGATGTTAAGATATCATTTTAATATTTTATATAGTATAAAAATATAAAATTATATATAAAATTATGCAGTGTAATATTTAAAATAAATATCAAAAAATTAAAAACACAAAAATATAAATATAATGAAAGACGATATTGCGATTGCATAAAGAAAATCGTACAACAAGATTACAAATATTTTGAATAAAAATAAATCCATGATATTGTATTATAAACAAATTAAAAATTAAAGAAATTATTGCAAACAAAGTTCAAATCGAACAAAAAAATTGATTGAAAGAAAAGAGAAAATTATCATTCTATGAGAAAAAATTCTGTTACATTTTTTCTTCAATTCATAAAATATGAATAAAAAATGATAAACTGAAATGTTTGACAAAGAAATTGCAAATTTTATTAATGAATCTTAAATTAAAATAATTTTTTTGCTCTCTTGTTGCTATATGTTTCAAGATATTTAGAACAAACATTTATATAAAATTTATAAAGAAATATTTTCTACATTGAAAAATAATGAGAAGAAAAATGAAAAACATTTGGATTTTATTTTTAATTTTAAAATAATATTTGTTGCTAGCAATATATAGTCTACATCCAAATCAATTTGTTCCAAATTATGATAGTAAAAAATTTACAGCATTTATTGTTAATCTAATTACATTTTTCACTTTGATTATAAAAAGATTTTTAGGATAAAAATGTCTTATATATGTAAGTAAAAATTTAATTTTCTTGTTATAAATATGATAACGTATATTTGTAATTTTTAAGTGATTACATAGATTACATGATTACATAGAAAAAAAAACATGGAATTGAAAAATTGAATAATAAAATATATAAATTATTCTATTATGATATAGGATATGATTGCTAATAAATTTAATATTTATCAATAGAATACTTGATAAATATTTAAATATATTTTTTTAAGAATAATCTCAAAAATAATTTAAATAAATTGAGATTATTGAAAGATTTCCATTTTCAATAAAATAATGATTCAAAACATAACTTGAATGAAAAATAAAAAAAATATACATTATGAATTATATATAATATTTCATTGCAAAGTCGAAATATCAATTTATTGAAACTTTATAAACTGAAATGTATAAAAATTTCAAATAATATCATAAACAAAAAAAAATTATAGAAGTATGAAATTCTATTGACTATATTTTTACAAAATCATTAGTTTATAATATATTACAAATTATAGTTAAAAATAGTCCAACAAAATATTAATATTAAAGTAAAAATATGAAACATCTGAATACTTTTGTGAGTTGTTAATTAGATGTTATTATAAATGTATCATAATTATGACTTACATTGTTGAATTACTTTTAATACACAATAAATCAATAAATTTTGTTATCTATTATAAAATCATATGTAATATATAAATAATATTAAATATAATATATTTACAATTTGTATATAAATATTCACAAAATGAAAAATTCGTTGAGCATTATAAAATAAACCAAAAAAAAATGCATTTTCAATTTACAAATATAAATTTAAAAATTTAAGTTATATTAAGCGATTTAAGCAAATTTAATTTATCAATGTAAATTAATGAATCTTATAGTTGCATGAACATTCTCATGCAAATAATTATATATAGAATAAGTAAAAAACAATAATATACATTAAGGAGAAATAATAAATTTATTTAAAGTAAGAATAAAATATTAAATATATTGTTAATAAAAAATAATTTTTAATCTTTTATAATAACAACAAGATTACTTAAAATATATTACAGAACTAAAAAGATATCAAAATCAATTGTTAATTTATATTATTATTTTATTATTATTTTAGTTATTTTATTATAAATTTCTATTATTATTTTATTTTATTTTATCTATTAATAAAGATTAGATCTAAAATTAATCTAGATTATAGATTGTTAAAGTTAAGTATATGTTATGAATATTTTTTATATATTATTTTTTTGTGAATAACTAATCATAAATATATACATGTACAGTATATATAAGACGAATTTTTAGAATTTTGTGTAATGTAAAAATTACTATAGATATAATATATTAAAAAGTTCCTATATAACATATTCTGATTTAAATGTTATTTATTTAACTATTAAAAATATGAAAAAACATTTGTCATAATTATTATTAATTGATTATTATTTAATTTATTAAAAAGAATTTTTAATTTTTTTTACTTTTTTTAAATTAGAAATAAAGAAAAATTTCTCATTGATTTCGATAATTTTAAAATATATTAGAGAAAATTTTGCATTATTTTTCTCTATATTAGGCTTTAGTTTTAATAGAAATTTGCAAAAAATTATTATCGTTAACTAACTAAATTTTACCTATATTTATGTATCTGTCAGATATAACATATTTGTGTGCATTGATGTGTGATTGTTGCTTATTTATTTTATACACTATTTTTTATAAGAAAACAATGGAACATTCTATAAGAAATTGAAATTATCAAAAAAATGTTTTACAAACAAAAGTTATTTAGTTCAAAAAATCTATCGTGTATAATTATTTTTTTGTAGGTTAAGTGATTTAATAAGATTTTAATCATATTTTTTTTAAATAAAATGATATAATTTTGAATATATTAAATAATTTATTGAAGTATTTCTTATAAAAAAAAATATAATTTAATTCTGTCAAAAATTTTAAATCATTAATTTAAAAGATATTTAAATTTAAAAGTCAGAGAATGATATCTTAATTTAAAAATTATGATTCGAATTCATAAGTTGGAAAGATGAATGAATGAATAATGATTAAAGTCTAATAATTGATAATTAACTAGGATAATAAAATCATGAAACATAAAATATACATTCGAAATATATTTATTTTCTTTATTGAATTAAACAAATGTTTTTAATTAAACAACACATAGTATTAAACAATATCATTATTGTAACTTTAATCATTGTAATTCGAAGCACGAACAAGTCCAATTAAAGCAAATATTAAATATAATAAATATTTTTTTAATAAAAAAAATTTTTTATCGATAAAAAATTATATTAAATTATATTACGAACAGTATATAAATTATAAACATATTTTCGATATTCAGTAAATAAACTTCAATACACTTTCTTCGATATATGTTATTTAAATTTATTTATTCAATAGCATATATATAACCAACGCTAGATTAGATTACGCATTATATCTATGATTGATTAGTATTTTTTATTAATAACTCGTTAACAAATAATAATGTTTAAATAATTGTAATAAAAGTTTTTGCAAAAAAAAATGTTGCTTGAAATTATTTAAAATTACTTTAAAAATTACATAAAAAATCTCCAAATAACAGATGTTTTCACATTTTTGAAACACCTTGTATATATTATTAATCAAAATTATTGAAGCAAAAATACAATTTCTAAAAAAAAACAATCATTCGTTGTAAATAAATATATATATATATATATATTAGATATTAGATATATATTAAATTGTAAAATTATCAACTATATATATTTTTTCTCCATAAATATGTAAACATTACGAATATATATAGAATTATAGAAATAATAATATAGAATTTAATCATATTATTTGATTAAAATCATAAGCACATGCAATTATAAAAGAAATAACTTATCAATAGATTATAATAGAAGAAGAAATAAATTTATCAAAACTATATTTTACTTTGTAATTGATAAACAAATAATATTTTTAGATATATTTTTAAATTAATATAAGGAAATAATTACAAATTAAATCAATAAAATTTAAATAAAAATTAAAATCAAAATTTAATTTTTTTTAAAATATAATTTTATTTTATATTAAATCTTAATTATAATTTTTAAAATATAAAATTTTATAATGAGCAATATTTAAAATTATAAAAATAAAGTAAAAATTAACAATTAAATTAAGAAAAACTAAGGAAATAGCTAAAATAAATACATATTTTAGACTTAACTTAATAATTAAATTTAGATATTTATATATTACTTTATATTTATTATTTATCCTTATTTATATTTATTTATTCTTTTTTATATATATTTATTATATATATTTTTGTATTTATATTTTATTATATATTATTATTTTGAAAAAAAAAGTTTTATCATTTACCATATGACAATTAATAAGTAGATTT